GATCTGAAAATAATCATTTAATTGCATATTTAAAATTTCGACTGCTTCCTGATAACCAAAATATTCAGGAATTTCGTGTGAATTTGTTGTTTGAAAATAATTCAAAATTTTTTACTTTGAATTTCTAGAATAGTTCTCTGAACTGTGGATACTCCTTCAGAAGACTATCTCTTCGAATCAAGACACCAACTTTTCAATTTGAAGATAGTAATCCCGAACCTTATACGATTTCTCTATCAGTTTTGAGAGCAACGCTGACTCGTTTTGGCCTTAACTGATCGCTCCTTGAGAGTATTGACATTGTGTATTTCCAAGAGTCCAGCTGGCATACCTCCAACTGTGGATTTCCCACTTTGCAGATATGTGTGACGAGGAAATGTTTATGTTATTTGCGCGTGGCTGATAACTTCGTTTTCTAGATAATAAGTCCTTCATTCAGAAGCGAAGTCAAGAAACAGGATAAATCAACTCAACTTTAAGATTATGATGGGATTTTTTAAATCATTATTTTACATCGTTCGGATTCGGTTTTCAGTATACTGTGAAATCTGATCAAGACTTCAAATGGTTAGATCGCGCCATTCTATCCGGCCGAGTTTTAAACCCGGGATCTCGAGCATGTGAACAAACGAACTTCACCACTGCACCAGTCTAACGGACGATTATGATAAGATTCGATAAAGATCTTGGGATTCAATCGAGATCGTGAATTTTTTAGAGGGCTGTTTTTGGCAGATATCTTTTTTCTCTGAAAAATTCCGTAGCGAAGCGGTAAACCGGGTTAAGTCGTTTTTGACTATTGGCCAGTTTTTGTTAAATATCTCCGAATCTAAAAGAGAAAAATTTTTGTTACGACCTTTTTTGTAGAGCCAATTGAGGGTTACGAAAAAGGTCATGAGAAAAATGTTGTTATCTCCCTTAGATTCCGAGATATTCATCAAAAACTGGCCGTAAGTAAAAAACGACTTGACCCGGTTTACCGCTTCGCTACTGAATTCATCTTCAAAAAACGGGAAATTCACTCATTCCGTTTTACCACAGGGTAATTTATCGATAATAGCTCCTAATGTAAGGCAGAAGTTTGATCTATTAGGATTTTTATTTATATTATTTCTTCTTAAGGGGAAACGGAACCCCTGCCTCTATATGAATTTTTAGAATTATGTTTTCTCCTACAATTTAATAATTACTTTATATCTATGAAATTACTTTATCGACCCGATCATTGCGTTGTTGAGCCAATGAAGTAGTTTCATAAATAAAAAATCATAATTGCAGGAGAAAACACAATTGTAAAAGTTCATACAGACACAGGGGTTCCGTTTCACGAAACATTTCGTTGTTGTTACGTTTAGGTAATGGAGGATTGTACTTGATTAATGTAAGATGTTTTTTCATGATTTTTCCGGATTTTGTAAACTCTGCTGGTCCTTACGGACAAGTCTGCATCTTATGGACAATTAACTGAATTGTTTTTTTAATTTCTTAATTTTTGTTATTCGAAGGAGTCGTGGAATGGATATTGATGAATTGTCAATTGTATTTTGGAATTTTTAAATTTTTGAACAGAATAAAATATGCCCTGGAGAAAAGCTCTTAGGGAGTTCCAAACGTTGCACGGAAAAGAAATTTGATTAAATTATGCATTCATAATTCATTCGTTCATTCATTCATTCAATCCGCTTGTATGACCGTCATGGCTCCGCGAAGTTACAGAAAATAAAAATTCCTAAACGGTTCGAAAATGAGTTGGGAAGTTTGATCTACAGGAAAAATATTGAATGAAGATGACTCTCTCTGAATTCCAATAATCAAGTGCTAAAATTTAAGAGATTTTCACCATAATTCTAGTAAAAAATTTAATAAACCTAGTAAAAGTTTCAATATTTGAAGTGGTAATTTCACTAAATTTTCGTAACTTTCGCCAATACATGAGCACTAAAACTCAGGCATCATTTTACATTTTAAGATAAATTCCCCAACTGATCACACAAAAGGGTTTCATCCTATTCATCTGCTAAACTGAAGATGCCCCAATTCTCTAAAAAATCCTCTTCAATTTTGATAAATCGATGATTACGAGAAACAGAAATGGGATCAAGTGATATTTCCAAGGTCAATGACATTTCTCCGCCAATCAGCAGTAGCTGATTTCGTAACAATTTAATTAATTTTTCTAGTGATCAAAAAAGGTTAGAGCACGTACATCCTCGTGATCGGAATCATTAATTTCATTAAAACAGCGCGTGGCAGATATCGCAAATCCCCACTGAAAGTAATTTATTACATCTATTGTGAGTGAGGGTATAAACATTTCCTTGCGAATGAGACAGCCCGATACTGCTCCAGATTCTGATTGGTTTGCGATAAGATGTGATACTCGTAGTCGTCAAATAGTCTGTTATCTGCAAGAAAAAGTATAAGTACTGCCCCCCAGTGAAGTATGACCCTTGATGTGATGTGTGCATCACTCACCCCCCCATTGTTAACGCATTCAGTCTCTATGAACCACAATCCCAGAGCTGTCAGATAAGGCTTGGTCTTGAGGAGTTGGAACCACGGGGTTGTACAATTGATAATACTTATCGAATTCATATAAATAGGGAGTTAAATAGTGGCTTCGGGTTCAGTACCATTCGACTGTTCCTCAGTGCTGTTACGAAGCAATTAACCCTAGTCTTTCTCCAATCTTCATTGAATTTCTGGATTTCTGGAATTTCTGGTGGAACTAACTCCATTCTGAACTGTTTTTTTGTTAACAGAAGTTAGCAAAAAAAAACGATTCTTCTTTTTTTTCCATTCGGTGTTTTGTCAAGGCACGAGAATTACTTCCCACGATAAAGTAAGTTGCAATTAATTAAGAGTTGGTGTTGAAGTTGTTTACAGTATTTTCAATAGGTGCGGTAGTGGAGTGAAAACAAGATGTGTTAGACTTCAATTATTGATTAATTTTGCTAATACAAGGCGGCGCATTCAATAGATCCTGATTTTGCCGTACAACTTATTCTGTTTGCGCATTTTTCTATGGAAATTCGAGGACACGAATTTTCATATCCTTGATTCTCGTTGGATTTGATGATCAGAAATAATGGAATAAACTAGGAAAATTCATTACCGCTTCTTTCTACCGAATGTACGAAAGATTGTGGAAGAGGTTTCTATAATAGTCGCCCTTTGCTCCATCAAAAAAATTCTGGGGAAAATTTAATAATAATCAAAATTTAATAAAGTAAGTTGCCATGAATCAACATTTTCTGCCAAAAAAATTCTGCCGAAAATGGTGCCATCTCCCTATTTAGTGTCACGACTCTGCTACTGAACTGCTTTGAAATTTCAAAAGATACACTTATTCCAAAGTCAATGTTAACAGTTGCGCAATGTTTGTATAGTTTATGTATCAAATCAACATTGATGATGAAATAATTTATTGTGATAAGAAAGTTGCATTTTACAGAACCTCTGGATAAGGAAAATCGAACGAATGACTCACTTCTTATTAAGAATCATTGGTTTTTCAATACATCCGCTCTCCGTATAAACAGGGAAAACCACTCGTATTTTTGTATTCAAACACAATAAGTGTCTTGCAAACAAAATGCATTGACATATTTGATAATCGATACTGAGCTCTCACGTAATTGCCAATGGCATATCAATAATGAAGCGTTATAATGAGATCAGTCAGTGTCATTTAAAATGCTGACTAAGTCTCTGAATCTAAGACAGACGACTAATTTTTTACATCGCACTTTTCTTTCAGAATTACGATAAGAGAACGTTCAACCTAATTCTCAATTGACTTATCCTGTTCTATCGTTTCATTACTCAAATTAATCACCTTTTTAATGACCGGAACTCTTGAACCCGTTTATGACTTTCAATCTCTCACGGACGAAACATTCTTAGAGAAGAAAGTGCTATCTCCAAAAAATTCAATTATTTCTATTATAACTATTATTTGTTGAAAATCATGCAACTTTGCGCTGTGATTTTTAGTAGGTATTCTATAGAAAAAATATGTTTGGTAAATTTTCATTATTCTATGTGAATTATTCTCTTGAAGTCTTCTGTAGAAATTCGTGGACATAATTATGTGATTTATAAATTTCCTGTTGTTTCACTGGATTGGTTTTGCTTTTCATTACAAAGTCCGGAGCAAACACTTTGAAACTTCAGCCAAAACAATTCTTAGAGAAATCCATTAACGCATAACTAAGTTTCATGAAAACAGTTTCACACCACGAGTTTCTTGATATAAGTAAAGATGTACTTGACAAAAAACTTTGTTCTTCTCAGTGCAAGTTGAGCCGTCAGTGTTGACACATCAAAACATTTAATCTATCCAAAATTTCAATTAATTTCTCAGTCTCGTAAATCCTCAAGTGAATAAACCTCAATTCAACTCAAATTTATATCAAACATTTATTCCGCGTCATTGTATTCCAAACTGTTATTGTTACTGAATCAACTTATTGTGTTAGTTTTCACCAGAAATCCAAACTTAAAATGACAAGTATCCCCGATCTTTTCATCAAATAATGCCTCAAGTTATATTAAAAATAACAAAACCAAACCAAATTCACAATCTAAATCCCATTGAAAATGATATTAATCGTGATTTAAACCAAGCTATCAATTACAAAACCTTTCAGTCCCTCCTAAATTAATAATGAATAAACAATCATCTCATATTAGCCGTAAATTTTTCTGAGCGAGCTCAATTGTTAGCTCGGGGTATCGTTTGTTCGATACACAAATAAGAATTTTCTCTATAAAAATTCTAATGCTGGTTAAGTTAAACTTCTGGTCATTTCCGGTTAAATTTATAGAGATTTCTGGGGATTACTGTGAAAATTTCATATCAATACGAGAAAAATTCATGGGCAACTCAATAAAGTTTCCAGTGGTAGCCCTGCAATTTTAGAATTTCCCTGCAAAACATTCTTGATTCATCAAGATATCTTATGCCGAATTGAAAAATTATTCCCCTTCTGTTCTAGGGTTGTATCTGCGATAGACTGGTTGGCCAGTCTGTTGTTGTGTCTCTGAGCAACAGCGTCAACTGGAAGTTGGCCCTGAACGCAGAGCCCCCGTGGCTTTGCTAGCACCCCCAACTCTGAGATCGCATTAACTCGCCTCCCCACGACACTCAAAATCCGCACTGACAGCTGCCTCATTGCTACCTAGCGTCCGCAGAGTAGCATAAATCATCCCCCACGAAAGCAACAAACAATCATTCAACTGATTCCCTCAACTTCGAACGACAAATTACTCAAAAAATCAACATGAAGGTGACCAATTTGGACGAGCGCATCCACGTGCTGGACAGTGCATCCAGCGTGATGAGTGTGATCACGGAGATTGCTGAGAGCGGCCTGCAGGAGGAGGCCTTCTACGTCCTGGACATCGGGGACATTGTCAAGAAGCACCAGATCTGGAAGGAGAAGATGCCGAGGGTCGAACCCTACTACGCTGTTAAATGCAACGACTCTCTGATTGTCCTCGAGGTCCTGGCATCCTTGGGCATTGGTATGTAGAGCATTTCACTCATATTTCGTAATTTCTGACGTGGACATGGACATTTAATTTCAGTGAGAAGAAATGAAAAAAATGCAAAAAAACGTAGGTGGAAAGAAATAAAAAAATCATTTTGGGGGGGGGGGGGG